CCGACCGGCTCAATGACCTTGAGGATGGGCTGGAAGAGGCGCAGGTCGCACAGGCGCCGGGACTCGTCGAAAAACTCCTCCCGCTCGGCCTCTTGTGTCACCCCGACAAAGATGTAGGAAGATTCCTCCTGGGAAGAAGCAGGGGAAGATTCCCAAAGTGACTGCGCAGGAACAGGAAATCCCACATGTGTGCAATTCACAGGGACCACGACGGAGAAACAGGAGAAGACCCCTGGGACTGGGCACATGGGCTCCATGCGCCTTTCAGTCTCATTGGAGGCCATTTGAAAATGCAAATGCCTGGGGATGATTGAACCTCCTTGTGTGCCACTTGCAGGGCCCTGAAGCCCTTTTACATAAAGGTGGGCCCTTGGGGTCTGCTAGCATTTGGGTCCCAAATCCATGGAGACCAAAGTCCCCCCACTTGTGTTGAACTGCATCAGTTCAACAGTGTAGATGAGCCCAGAGAAGTCTGGGCTTGTTGCATGCACTCACTGCTTGATTCTGCTCGTCTTTGAGCACACCTACACTATAGAATAGTGTATAGGGCATGGATGGATGGCACCCTTGAAGTGACTGGATTGACCTTGAAGGAGCTGGGGGTGGTGACGGCCGACAGGGAGCTCTGGCGTGGGCTGGTCCAGGAGGTCACGAAGAGTCGGAGACGACTGAACAAATGAACAACACACTATAGAATCAATACAGTTTGACACCACTTGAACTGCCGTGGCTCAATACTATGGAATTGTGGGAGTTGTCAGAAATATTAAAAACTAAATTGGTATTTTTAATTACAAAATGTGAGTTAAGCACTAAAAGGGTTAAATGGATACAATGACTTAGGAAAAGCTGCTGTTCAATGTAAGCAGGTGTGCCTGTAGTTTAGTAACTCTAATCTGAGAGAAGCCTCAGGGGGAGAAAGGCCTCAGTGTTAGTAGGCCTTAGTCTGAGAAGTTAGTAGACTGAGAAGTTAGTAGCTCCAATCTGAGAGAAGCCTCAGTGGGAGAAAGGCCTTAGTCTGAGAAGTTAGTAGCTCTAGTCTGAGAGAAGCCTCAGTGGGAGAAAGGCCTCAGTGTTAGTAGGCCTTAGTCTGAGAAGTTAGTAGACTGAGAAGTTAGTAGGTCCAATCTGAGAGAAGCCTCAGGGGGAGAAAGGCCTCAGTGTTAGTAGGCCTTAGTCTGAGAAGTTAGTAGACTGAGAAGTTAGTAGCTCCAATCTGAGAGAAGCCTCAGTGGGAGAAAGGCCTTAGTCTGAGAAGTTAGTAGCTCTAGTCTGAGAGAAGCCTCAGTGGGAGAAAGGCCTCAGTGTTAGTAGGCCTTAGTCTGAGAAGTTAGTAGACTGAGAAGTTAGTAGGTCCAATCTGAGAGAAGCCTCAGGGGGAGAAAGGCCTCAGTGTTAGTAGGCCTTAGTCTGAGAAGTTAGTAGACTGAGAAGTTAGTAGCTCCAATCTGAGAGAAGCCTCAGTGGGAGAAAGGCCTTAGTCTGAGAAGTTAGTAGCTCTAGTCTGAGAGAAGCCTCAGTGGGAGAAAGGCCTCAGTGTTAGTAGGCCTTAGTCTGAGAAGTTAGTAGACTGAGAAGTTAGTAGGTCCAATCTGAGAGAAGCCTCAGGGGGAGAAAGGCCTCAGTGTTAGTAGGCCTTAGTCTGAGAAGTTAGTAGCTCCAGTCTGAGAGAAGCCTCAGTGGGGGAAATGCCTCAGTATTAGTAGGCCTTAGTCTGAGAAGTTAGTAGCTTCAGTCTGAGAGAAGCCTCACTGGGAGAAAGGCCTCATTAGGCCTGAACAGTTTGCAGGTTCCAATACGGGGAGAGCACAGATGAGCTCCCTCTGTCAGCTCTGGCTCCCCATGCAGAGACATGAGAGAAGCCTCCCACAAGGATGGTCAGAACATCCAGACTGCACTAATTCTACAGCGTGTAGATGCATCTTGAGAAGTCCTGGCTTGCTGCATGCCCTTGTTACTCATTTTCCTTGAAAGCAAGAGGTTCTCTTTCTTGACTCACTCCCCCCACTTGCCTTCCAGCCACTTAGAATCTTATAATCCTAGACTTGGAAGAGAACCCAAGGGCGATTCAGGAAGACACCATCCAAGCCCTCCCAAAAGATGGACATCCAGCCACAGATACTATACACAGAAGATAGAGAGATCATAGAACCCTACAGCTGAAAGACATCCCAAGGGCCATCCAGTCCATCCTCCTTCTGCAAGGCAGGAAGGCACCATTGAAGCCATCCCAAAAGATGAACATCCAGCCATAGATATTATAGATTATATATATTATAGATAGAAGCTAGATCAGGCATGGGCAAACTTTGGCCCTCCAGGTGTTTGGACTACAACTCCCACAATCCCTGACAATTTTGGACAACTCCCACAATCCCTGACAATTTTGGACTACAACTCCCACAATTCCTAAAAGTTCTGGACTACAACTCCCACAATTCTTAACAGTTTTTGATTACAACTCCCACAATTGCTAACAATTTTTGGACCACAACTCCCACAATTCCTAGCAGTGTTGGACTACAACTCCCACAATTCCTAACAGTTCTGGACTACAGCTCCCACAATTCCTAACAGTTCTGGACTACAACTCCCACAATTCCTAACAATTTTGGACGACAACTCCCACAATTCCTAACTGTTTTGGACTACAACTCCCACAATTCTTAACAGTTTTTGATTACAACTCCCACAATTGCTAACAATTTTTGGACCACAACTCCCACAATTCCTAGCAGTGTTGGACTACAACTCCCACAATTCCTAACAGTTCTGGGAGGAGGAGGAGGAGGAAGAGGGCGCAGGAGCGCGCGCGCCATCCGATCGGCTCCGGCTGCTGCGCCCTCCTCCTCCTCCTCCTCCTCCCCGCACTTCCTGCAACACAGCTGGGAGGAGGAGGAGGAGGAGGAGGAGGGCGCAGCAGCCGGAGCCGATTGGATGGCGCGCGCGCTCCTGCGCCCTCCTCCTCCTCGCGCCGCCCCTTCGCCCCGCCCGCCCCAGTTACTGCTGGGGTGCTTGGGAGCGCCGGATTGGCTCCCAGGCACCAGCACTGCAGCACAGCAGCCTCCATCCCATTAACGAGCGGAGCTTCAGCTCGTAAAAAAAATGGGGCTGCTGCTTCGATATTTTCAAACCCTTCCGGGTTTGAAAATATGTTTTGATATCGCTTCGGATATGCAAAAAATAACGATTTAAATACGAAATAACGAATTAACGAAACGAAACCGACAGGCCTAATAGATAGATATTATATCCTAGATTCCTACAGTTGGAAGAGACCCAAAGGGCCACCCAGCCCAACCCTCTTTTTCCAGGAAGGAAAGCCCTCGCGACAGATGGCCCTCCGGCCTCTGCTTCAAAGCCTCCAGAGAAGGGAGGAGGCTCAAAAGGCACCTGGCAGTTCCAGGGTGAAGTCCGCTCACCTGCAGCAGGTGGAAGAGTGGGTACTTCCTGGCCTCCTTGAAGAGGTCGTGCTTGATGCTGAGGAGGGTGGCCTCTCGCAGGCACTCCAGCGTGACGATCATGCCGTTGGGCAGGCAGCAGTCCACCATGATCCGGGGGGGCATGAGGTGGAGGCCCCACAGCTCCCCGGAGGAGGGCCGCGGAGGCATGGCGGCGGCGGAAAGGGAGCCAGACCCCTGCACACTCTTGGGTGATGTCTCTGGATCAGAGGGGGGCTAAAGCATCTTAGGACACACCTGGGGAGAAGAGACAGAGGACAAAAAGGTTAGGATTCACAGGAAGCACCAATCTGAGAGAGGCCTCAGTGGGAGAAAGGCCTCAGTGTTAGTAGGCCTTAGTCTGAGAAGTTAGTAGCTCCAATCTGAGAGAAGCCTCAGTGGGAGAAAGGCCTCAGTGTTAGTAGGCCTTAGTCTGAGAAGTTAGTAGCTCCAATCTGAGAGAAGCCTCAGTGGGAGAAAGGCCTCAGTGTTAGTAGGCCTTAGTCTGAGAAGTTAGTAGCTCCAGTCTGAGAGAAGCCTCAGTGGGAGAAAGGCCTCAGTGTTAGTAGGCCTTAGTCTGAGAAGTTAGTAGCTCCAGTCTGAGAGAAGCCTCAGTGGGAGAAAGGCCTCAGTGTTAGTAGGCCTTAGTCTGAGAAGTTAGTAGCTCCAGTCTGAGAGAAGCCTCAGTGGGAGAAAGGCCTCAGTGTTAGTAGGCCTTAGTCTGAGAAGTTAGTAGCTCCAGTCTGAGAGAAGCCTCAGTGGGAGAAAGGCCTCAGTGTTAGTAGGCCTTAGTCTGAGAAGTTAGTAGCTCCAGTCTGAGAGAAGCCTCAGTGGGAGAAAGGCCTCAGTGTTAGTAGGCCTTAGTCTGAGAAGTTAGTAGCTCCAATCTGAGAGAAGCCTCAGTGGGAGAAAGGCCTCAGAGTCTGAAGGGACTACTAGGGCCAGACAGGGAAGCACAAACTCTAGAATTCCCTGCCCTGGTGCGTCTACACTGCAGAATTAATGCAGTTTGATATCACTTGGGACTTGCAGAGAAACCTGGAAGTGGAAGCTGGACTCTGCACCAAGAACAAGTTCTGCAGGACCACATTTCTTTTGCAGCTGACAGATGGTAATTTTGTCAGCACCGATTGCTTTTAAGTGCAGGCCAAGGTCTTTAGGCACTGCACCCAGTGTGCCCATCACCACTGGGACCACCTTGACTGCCTTGTGCCTGACTCTTTGCAGCTCAATCTTTAAATCCTCATATTGTGTAAGCTATTATTATTATTATTATTATTATTATTATTATTATTATTAATTATTATTATATTCTGGGATTCTGGGAATTGCGGTCCATCTTTACAAACCGATCCAGACTCAACCCTATTTTATTATTATTATTATTATTAATATTATTATTATTGAGTTGCTGTGAGTTTCTGAGCTGTCTGGCCATGTTCCAGAAGCATTCTCTCCTGAAGTTTCACTCACATCTATGGCAGGCATCCTCAGAAATTGGCAGGTCCTCCCAACCTCTGAGGATGCCTGGCATAGATGTGGGCAAAATGTAAGCTGGCCCTGATTGTTTCCTGTCTAGAATTCCCCTATTTTCTGAGTGTTGTTCTTTATTTATTGTCCCAATTTTAGAGTTTTTTAAATACTGGTAGCCAGACAAGAATCAAACAGGGCCAACTAACATCTCCCAACAAAGGATCCCCCTGGAAGCAGCCAGGCTTTGAAGCTGCAAGGCCATTCAATGCTCATCAAGTTGCTAATCACTTGCCTCAAGCAGACAGAAGTTATTTCTCCCACCCTGGACATCATTCCAGAGATAGATCAACTCCACTTGCCTAGTTTCCAACAGACCCTTCAACCTCTGAGGATGCTGCCATAGATGTGGGCGAAACATCAGGAGAGAATGCTTCTGGAACATGGCCAGACAGCCCAGAAAACTCACAGCAACCCAGTCATTCTGGCCATGAAAGCCTTCAACAATGCATCATCCCTATCATCATTATTATTTGAAACACAACAAGATTAGTACACAGCAAACAAGATCCACTGCTGGCTTTTGTATTAGATCCCACATCGGACACTTCCCAAGTGTTTAGGACTTGTGATGTATCAGTGGATAATGTGTGCAAATCCAGGTAGGGTGGCCTTTTGCAGATGACAGGTGGTGGTTTGGTCAGCGCTGATTGTTTTTAAGTGCAGGCCAAGGTCTTGAGGCACTGCACCCAGTGTGCCGATCACCACTGGGACCACCTTGACTGGCTTGTGCCAGAGTCTTTGCAGTTTGATCTTTAAATCCTCGTATCACGTAAGCTATTATTATTATTATTACTATTATTAGAGTCACAACGAGATTAGTACACAAGTAACAAGATCACTCTGCTGTCTGCTGGCTTTTATATTGGATCACACATCTAACACTTCCCAAGTGTTTAGGACTTGTGATGTATCAGTGGATAATGTGTGCAAATCCAGGTAGGGTGGCCTTTTGCAGATGACAGGTGGTAATTTTGTCAGTGCCGATTGTTTTTAAGTGCAGGCCAAGGTCTTGAGGCACTGCACCCAGTGTGCCGATCACCACTGGGACCACCTTGACTGGCTTGTGCCAGAGTCTTTGCAGTTTGATCTTTAAATCCTCATATCGTGTCAGCTATGATGATGATGATTATTATTATTATTATTAATAATAATAATAATAATAATAATAATACGCTTAGCTTTGCCTTCCCACCATTGGAATGTGGGACATCCTAAACCCTGCCCATTAATATAGTCCAATCTCCTAATCACCACCAATAATAATAATAATAATAATAATAATAATAATAATAATAATAGCTAACTTAGCTAACTTCTATATGGAACACTTTGAAGAACAAGCCCTGGAGACAGCAACCAAAAAGCCCACGATATGGTTCAGATATGTGGATGACACCTTCACCATTTGGAGCCATGGAGAAGAAGAACTCAACAGGTTCCTGGACCATCTCAACAGCATCCACCCAAACATATGGTTCAGAGATGTGGATGACACTTTCACCCTTTGGAGCCATGGAGAAGAAGAACTCAACAGGTTCCTGGACCATCTCAACAGCATTCACCCAAACATATGGTTCAGAGATGTGGATGACACCTTCACCATTTGGAGCCATGGAGAAGAAGAACTCAACAGGTTCCTGGAACATCTCAACAGCATCCACCCAAACATATGGTTCAGAGATGTGGATGACACCTTCACCATTTGGAGCCATGGAGAAGAAGAACTCAACAGGTTCCTGGAACATCTCAACAGCATCCTCCCAAAAATCCAGTTCACCATGGAAAAAGAAAATGAAGGAAGACTGCCTTTTCTAGATGTCCTAGTCATCCGCAAACCAGATCCACAATTGGGTCACACCGTCTACAGAAAACCCACACACACAGATAGATATCTACATAAAAACTCCAACCATCACCCAAGTCAAAAAAGAAGCACCATCAAAGCCTTGGCAGACCGTGCAAAAAGAATCTGCGAAGCCCACCTCCTCCAAGATGAACTGAACCACCTCAACTGGGCTCTCCAGGCCAATGGAGACTCCACCTCAGACATCAGAAGAGCTGCAAGACCAAAAACAAGCCACGAGAGTCAAGATGAAGACCCACCCAGAGGAAAAGTGTTCCTGCCAGACATCAAGGGAACCACTGACCGCAGAGGGAAGCTGATGAGGAAACACAACATACAAACAATCTACAAACCCACCAAGAAAATCCAACCAATGCTACGTTCAGCAAAGGACAAGAGGGATCCTCTCACTCTGCAGGAGTCTACCGTGTACCATGCAGCTGTGGACAAGAAGTCTCCAGAGGGACCACCAAACGCAGCATTGCCCAAACAAGAATCAAGGAACATGAAAGGCACTGCAGACTACTTCAACCAGAGAAGTCAGCCATAGCAGAGCACCTGATGAACCAGCCTGGACACAGCAGATTATTTGAGAACACAGAAATGCTGGACCACTCTCACAACCACCATGTCAGACTACACAGAGAAGCCATTGAAATCCACAAGCATGTGGACAATTTCAACAGAAAGGAAGAGACCATGAAAATGAACAAAATCTGGCTACCAGTATTAAAAAACTCTAAAATTACAACAGCAAAACATCAGAGAGGAAACAACCAGGCACAGATTAACACCTCCCAGCAAGAGATTTTCCCAGGCTCAGGCAGGCCTTCAAATGCTAATGAAGGTGATCAGTTGAAACATTCACACCTAGCTCCAGCAGACAAGAGTCCTTTGCCCCACCCCAGCCATTCCACAGATATATAAACCCATTGTCCTAATTCCAACAGACCTCACTACCTCTGAGGATGCTTGCCATAGATGCAGGCGAAACGTCAGGAGAGAATGCCTCTAGAACATGGCCTATAGCCCAAAAAAACCCACAAGAACCTAGTGATTCCAGCCATGAAAGCCTTCGACAATACAATAATAATGTTTATTATATTGTCGAAGGCTTTCATGGCTGGAATCACTGGGTTGTAGGTTTTTCCAGGCTATATGGCCATGTACTAGAAGCATTCTCTTATCAATATAATGTTTATTATATTTATTATATTTATTATTATTATTATTATTATTATTATTATTATTATTATGTTTCTTTATACCTTGCTTTTTCTCTCTTCAGAAGAGACTCAACGTGGCTTGCTAAAAAGTGTTTTCAGTAAAATTTAAGATGCAAAAACATCCAAACATTCAAACAGAATTAAGCATCAATGGCACTGATTAAATTAAAACATTACTCATATAAATTAAAACTGATTTTAGATTTTGGCTCCATCCCCAAAATATCTCTCGACGTCTACGTAAATATTCCAAAATTACCACGAATCCAACAAGTCCCAGGCATTTTGGATCAGGGAGACTCAACCTAGATACAAAAGTACTGTATTGTCGAAGGCTTTCATGGTCGGAATCACTGGGTTGTTGTAGGTTCTTTCGGGCTATATGGCCATGTTCTAGAGGCATTCTAGAACATGCTCTAGAACATGGCCATAGAGCCCGAAAGAACCTACAACTACCCGAAAAGTACTGTATATACTCAAGTATAAGCCTAGTTTTTCAGTCCTTTTTTTAGGTTGAAAAAGTCTCCCCCGACTTATAATCGAATCAAGGTTATTTATTATTTTACTTTGTTGTTGTTGTTATTATTATTATTATTATTACATTTATTAT